AATCCTGTGTACTTTCAAAATTCAAATTGTTACTTTTTTTCCAACATTCAGATTTTCTCAGAATTTGAAGTTTTTTGTTAAAAACTGATTTCTGTGGAAGAACTTCACCAAGTAATCATCCTACTGACTCAAATGAACGAGCAGCCACGTGGCCTGATGCGCGTTAGAGGAGGTTTGATTAAAGTTGCTCAATTTAATGTTTTTGTTTTTCTGACAGCTTTTTCTTATTTTCAGTCACTTTTTGTTTACCTGATATAATTGTTTCTATATTCATTTTGTTTTTTTGCAACTGTTGCTTTAATTGTTGTGTTTCCAATTTTTTATGAACTTGTGTTTCAAAACAAACAAATAACCTTGAACGTTGAGTTGGTGTGTGGATAAAAGAAAATGTTTTTGGAAATTAGATTTTCGTTTTCTTTTTTCATGTGATAACTTTTCGTATCTTCAATCAGCACAATAAAGAAGAAAAGCCTGACTGCTGATTCACGAACGTATCACTAATAAAGATACTGTACTCGTGAAAATGTGTTGTGTGCTTTATGTTACTGGAAGCCAGTCCTTCCACTTCCTCTGCTGCTCGGCTGGTAATGTTTGTCACATCGTTCCATTTTTATTTCCCTCTTTAGCTGCCGAGGCCGGTGCCCACCTCTCAGCGCCTGTGACTCAGTGGTTTCAGCCTAACGTTCATAAAACATGTGAGCCTCCAACTTGTTTCCATTATGATTTCTGGACTTTACTGTGACTCAGGCACAGCGACTTCCCTGCTGACTCACCTGAGTCATGAGGCGACTGTGTGTAAACAGGTGCGTCTAACGAGAGTTTTGTTTCCGATGGCAAAAATTCATAATTTCTTACTTTTAAAAAAATAAGTGACAGGAAGGTGATGTGTTGATCCGCGCGATGAACCCATCCAGCACACAGAGGGTTCGTCTGCTCGTCTGACCTTTGCACTGACCTTTGTCTGATGTGAAGCTCAGACCAAAGGTCAGCTTTGAGCTTATAATAAAGAGGTCAAGAAAACATCAAAAACTCAGTCTTAACTTGACATAATTTGACTGAACGTCTGAATGAGCTCAAAGAGAAGATAAAGTTTGGAACTCAGGTTTGAACAGAGCTCCTTCTGTTGCACTGAAACCGGGCTGTGGCCTACTTTCACGGCCCGCAGGCAGAGTGCCAGCTCCAGGTTTATGACTGAGCCGCCTCACACTGCGGTTAATACATCTTTTCTCTCCAGGCTAACCTGTCGGCCCAGTTTGGCTTTTTTCTCCACCCGTCTCATGACCTGGACAGACTGCATGCAAATCAGCCAGTGTAGTCTGTACAAAGCAGCAGCGTATTTACTTATTCAAATGGTGCAGAGAGATGATGTCAAGCAGAACCTCAGGCCTCACGCTGATGTTTGGTTTGAGTATCTTCACCTCCTAGTTGGGCAAACATGAAGTCACGGGGGCCTTCCTCACGGATGTTTATGTCCAAACGCGGATACAGACTGAGTCATTTGTGCAGGTGGTTGTAAAAGCTTTCTTTCTTCTCTGTGATAAAGAAACGTGAGCGCACAGCGACTGTTTGACCCCATTATGGCAGAAAAATACGCTTTTATTAAACCTGATCCATTCATCATTTCATGTCCCGTTGCCCAGGGGAGCAGAGTCACAGGTGAGCCCTCATTGTGCTCCGACGTCCTGACAGGAACTCGCTTCGTTTCAGAAATCACATACCTGATGAATTTTCTAAAGAGAAACACGATATGCAAACACTGCTGCTCACTTCTCTGGAAATACGTAAAGTTATAATGAAACTAAAGTTATTGTTGTCAGCTTTCACTTTGCTCTGTCACGTCTCTCAATCCTTCCTCACACAGGTATTTTTTATTTTTAGAACACCCTCAAAACAAAGGATAAAATGATGAAACGAGTCATTAAAATGAGATCAAATTTACTCCAGAATGTTCAATGAAAGTATAAAAATAATGCAAAACTCTGTTAAATGACACAAAGCAACAATACAGAGATGGAAAGCAACAACAAAGAGTCTCAGAACAACAAAGTAGGAGATGCAGATCACATCACAGAGAAGCAGCGCATCAACCTTCCAGACACAAATTTTCATGAACAAAAAAAACAACACAAATAGAATAGAATTAGAATAGAATTCAACTTTATTGTCATTGCACATGCACAGGTACAGGGCAACGAAATGCAGTTTCGCACAAAGATCGCACATTTAGAAAAACACAGAAATGCTCATAATGAAAACTGTAAAAGATAAACAACAAAGTAACAAAAATGAGCAAAATTACACAAAAAACTACCAACAAAATCACAGAATCAGATTTGAAATGACTAAAAAGATAAATGATGTAGACCAGCAGCATTAAAGTGACGCGTTCGCATGCAAGAGCTCGAGTGGTTTATCATCCATGTTTGATTTTCCTCTGCTGTCTTCAGTGAAATCATGAAAAATCACATCAGATAACGTATAGATGCCATCTTCACATGTTCAAAGATGATTGTGCCTTTGTTAAGACACAAAGCTCCTATAAGGGATGTGAGGACGCAGCTACCTGGGTACCAGGTGTGTTTATAATCACAAACTGTAGTCAAAAGATGGATGTAGCCTGTCAGAATGAATAAAATGACGTCTCCTTTCCTGCCTCCTTTCCTGCCTCCTTTCCTGCAGGTAATTCGCTTTAATTTCTGATAAATTTTTCAAAAGTAACACGATACCCAAAGACTGCCGCTCAGTTCTCTGGAAGGACCGTGACCTTCTAGAGAAATCGTTTCCTTGTTCTCAACTTTTTGTTTCTTATGTTACATCTGTCAATCTTTCTCCACACAACACATTTTCTATTTATTTTTAACAACTTAAAAATGTTTGTAATGGGAAATGAAATCACAGGAATGATTGTGCTTAAAAACCAAAATGACTTCAAAGGGTTAAATAAAATCTTAAAACTTTATAACCAAATCACAGGGAAAAGAAGAGTCATTTACAATAAGGATTAGTTCCTTGCAACACCCACAGAAACGGAACAGCTGCACAATTAATAACAAAATCTCCACAAAATGACAGAAATGTCCTCAAAATGACATAAAGCAACTGCAGATCACTTGGAGTGACTGTAAAAAACATGTTCTAGTGATTCTATACATGCATTTTATTTATTTTTTTGTTATGACTGAAATAAAATAGAAAGAGGCTTCGAAATAACTGCTTCTAAAAGGACAAACACAATCCACAGGTGGGGTTCAGGGACTCCAGTTAGCTGAAACCTAGCACACAGCTAGCAGCTAAGGCCACCTGTCAGTTAAAGAGGCCACGCCCCTTTATAACACTTAAAAACGGTTGTTTTGAAGGGGGCGTTATCTGCAGAGCCCAAACTGTTTGTGCATCTGGCTGTAAACATGTTTATTTCTGCTGTAAATGTGTAACATGGGGACTGACTCACTGCTGGAGCCTCTGCTGGACGTCAGAGGAACTGCAGCTTTGGGTACTTGAGGCTTTCATCCTATCAGTTTGTGCATACATCGTGCTGTAAAGCAGCGGTCCCCAACCCCCGGGCCTTGGACCAGTACCGGTCCGTGGTACCGGCCGTGAGAGTTGAGGCTCAGGTGTGAAATGTTTGGTTTTCAGGGTTTTTATCGGTTTTCAGTTATTTTGTTATCGTTTTTATCGTTTTTATCGTTAACTCGGTTTTCCTGGGTCTTTTCACGTGTGTTATGAATAAATCTTCTTTTTTTGCTACCGGTACTAGTTTTATTTTGTTGTATTTATCCGCGACACCTTAAAGGCCGGTCCGTGAAAATATTGCTGGGCACAAACCGGTCCATGGCGCAAAAAAGGTTGGAGACCGCTGCTGTAAAGTACACATAATCAGACCGATGCCCTCCCGTAAATCATCACATGTCATGTTTATTGTGCACTCTGCAGAAGGTAAAAGTCTGCAGGGACCTGTGTGAGCTTTCAGGTGAATTGGAGTTTCAGCTTTCATGCAGCAGCTACCTGGGCTGGAGTCTCAGGGGAGCGTTTTCCATTTCACACATCAGTTGTGAGACTGAGAGAAAACAATATTTCCTCTAAGAGGTGTGCACTTCCCACACCAGAGGATGAAGCTTTCCACTGTGAAGGAAATCAACTGGCTGCTGGGAAACTTTATTTAAACTCCTGCTAACAAAAAGAAGCTAAAGCCACATCACAGGGACAAAATTAGGGCGGTTATCAGGGAGATACACTATGAGGGAAATGTCCCCTTCAAAATAAAAGCACAGAAACGCAATATATAAGCGCTCAAAGTGAATTCAATGTGGATTGAAACTGAGATCCAACCATCCGAGCATTATTCCAACTGTTTAAATATGTGTTTCAACTTTTATATCAAATAGCATTTCACTTTTTATATGACTTTTAGCTTTATTTCAGAAGATTTATGTCCACTATAAGACTGATATATCACTTTTAAATGTTACTTTTATCCATAAATTTTAGCTCATGTGAATCTTTTTAGACTTTTTTCCTCATTTATCCTTTAAATCAATCACTTTTAGGTTTTCTATCATTTATTGCGGTTATCTGTTATTACAGATTTTTCCCATATACATCATATATGTAGCTCTGTACCATTATATTGATACATTTAAGATGATATCAATGAGAAAAAGGTTTTTTTCAATATTGCTTTTGGTCTGTATGTCAATTTATATCACATCTTTTTATTTGAACATTTATTTTCAAATGTTTGTTGTAGCTGTGTTTCAGTGTAATCGCTTTCACGCGTATATATATATTACTGTTTTGTTAATTTACTACTAAACTAAACTACTTATTTGCAGCTCTCTCTCTCTCTCCCGCTTTCTCTTGGAGCTTTATTTTGAAAGTCCTCTCAAAGGGGTGGGTTACCTATTGTGAGTCGGTTGGCTTGACAACGGGAATGATGGGAGGTGCTTGTCCACGTCCGAGATCGGGGACGGGACAGGTAGAGCCAGGTGAAGCTGCACACCTGACACTGACACACACACACACACTTTGTCTCTCTCACACACGGACACACACGGGCTGAGGGAGAGGAGGCGGCCGTTGCGCTGAAGAGGCTCTTGGGACTTCACATCCTGCTCAGCGCACCGGGAACCAGAGAAGGGGGGACCATTAGGAGCGTCAGGGCGCAGCAGACACAGCAGCTGCTGCGGGCTCGGACTGTTCAGAGAAGGACTGAACTGCGCCTTTAACTCCCAGGACTGTGAGTGATTAAGCGGAGGACGGCAGCCTCCTGCCGGGGCGGATTACTGCCCGCTGTGGTCTCACATAATCCGCACTTTGGGATTTTCTTCAATGTTCCCGGAGCAGAGCAGCAGGTAGTTCCTGCCCCGACCTCCCCGCGCACCTTATTTCTCTATTCAAATCCCGGGGGAGGGGGGGGTCAGAGACCCGGTGTACCCGCCTAATCCCGCACCTGCTGACCGCAGCAGCACCATGATCAGCTCCGAGGGCCTGAGGCCGGCCTCTAACGGCAGGAAGCCGCTGGGCAAGCTCGCCACCCGCCTGGAGGAGGTGAAGAACCCGTGGCGGCAGGGCTCCACGCTGGAGCTGAGCCACAACGAGGCGGCCCGGCTGGCCACGGACGCATTGCTGGAGCACGGGGAGAAGGAGTACCGCAAGGTGCTGACCGAGGAGCGGGAGGTGAACTTCCTCTCCCCGCTGGAGATCCACTACATCACGCAGCATGCGGCCAGCAAGACGTGCGGCGGCTCCGACAGCAACGGCGTAGGGCCCGGGGACCGGGACTTCGGGGACGGGGACGCCGTGTCCGAGCTAACTTCTGGAACTTACTTCCCCATGATGTCCGACGAGGAGCCGCCGATGCTGGAGCTCGGCTGGCCGGACACACCGACGAGATACGGACCGTCGGAGACTCAGATCTACTTCCAGAGAGACAAAAGCCACAACATCAAAGACCTCATCAGGTCCCTGATCAACAAGGCCAAGAAGGTAAGAGCGCTCTGAGGGACCGGAAACAGAATCATCTCTGTCTGCGATCTTTTATTAAACAGCCTGAAACAGGAGGCCGCTTTGCATCGATTAGTCGATTATTCCTGAAAGCAGCCAGCAGCTGATCGGTCAGTCACGGCAGAGCAGAGGTCAAAGCTCAGACTGCATTATTGATGAGTGTGTGCTTTGTTCTCACAGTGGTCTGAATATTTGTGCTCTTATAGTCTCCCACAGTCCAGTCACACATCTGTAAACTCGGATTATTTATTCTTATTCTTTAGAGAAAAGCTGGAAATGATTTAGTCTCAAAATCTGCATTTTTCAGACTGAAAGCTGCAGCTGGACCAGGAGAGTTTATCCTGGTGACCTTTGACATAAGTCACAGAAACAAAGCAGCAGCTTTCTCGTTGGGGTTCATAACACACTGTGAAAAAGCTTCTTATAAATAAAGTCCAACCAAGTTCTCAGCAGTCACTTTGTGTCCACCTCAAACCTGTGAAAACATCAGACAGGACAAAATAAAAGCTTCAGATGTGGAGAGTTGGAAACATATTCAAGTGTAAACTATGTGCAAAATGATTTTTCTACAGCTGAGTTACTGCAGCTAAATGTTTAGTGTGATCCAAAGCATGTCGCTCTCTGCATGTTAGACCAGTTTGTGGCGCGCTGTGTAAACACAGTCGTCTGTCAGCAGCTGGGATCAGTGACCTCACTCTGTGTGTGGAGCAGCTCTGCGCTCAAAGACATATTCTGCCCAGTATTACTCCCAGTGTAGCGCTGTCTGTAAGCCTGAGCTGTGCTGCACGTTTCAGGCTGATCAGAGCAGCTTTAAGTGCTGCGCACAGACGGAGTCAACACAAGTGCTACGTGCCAATAATGCGACCAGTGAAACGGCTTCAAAGAGATGATAACAAAGAAGGAAATGAAGCCTGAATACAGTCAAATGAACAAAGGGAAATCATTATAACTGACTAAAGTCAGGCTGAGTTTCCTCTTGAAGCTGAGATTAGATCAAACGTTACAGTCGCTGCTCAACACGGTAATGACACTGAGGCTGAGACGCTGCTGTTGACACGTCGTTTGGCAGCTGAAGTCGAGAAATGGAAAAAATCTTTGCACTTTTGTCCATTTTTGTCCTTTTAATGATGACGCACGAGTGTGGAGGCTCGAAACCAGGACAAAGTCTTCATTTGGAGTAACAGAGGTGCAGCTCACTGCGTGGATCCGTCCCTGGAGCATTTTTCACCCGGCTTGCTTACAAACAGCGCGAGCAGGCCGGGGCCCGCCCGCCATCTTTGATCTCTTCTTATCAGCTTGTGAGCTCGAGGCCGGCTGCTCGAGGTCCAGGGAGCAGAGGGCTGGCTGTCACACTGCCCGCTGTTTAGGAACAAACCCCCGAGCTCTC